CCGTCGAATGTTTCAGTACTCTGTCAGTTTTGTGCCTAGTTATTGCACTTTCTGACTGTATATAGTATCATGTTACAGTGATGGAGAGTTACTCTTAACTCGTATCCATATGTCCTTTTCTCTTCTACATTTATTTATGGCTCAACATCCGAGTTTCAAATTGCACACCTGATGAGCCGTCACGAACCATACGGCGAAACGTACGTCGTGTGAAACCACTTGTTTTGTAGTCAACTAGTCCATCACAATGTCATGCATGAGGAGTACTGTAGGAGTTTGGCTCTCGGCTTGTACAATTCGTTTTCGCAAAGCTTCCCTTTCTTTACTTATCTTTGATATTTTATGACCCTCCCAAGTTGGGTGGTGTGCTGCTTTGCTGCTTCGAATTGTAGTTAGACCGCTTTGTCAAATATCGTACTGGTCTCGTCATCGTCCAGTAACAATCGACATTCTTTGTTCCGTTGGGACTGTAGCTTTTGCTCGTTTTCGTTGCGCTTGCCTTCCCCTCTTTGGTCTTTCCATAACCTTGAACCTTCCAAGTTGGAAGGCTGCCGGTTAGCGCTACGGAGATGTGTTGAAGCTAGGTGTCAGGCCGTCGAATGTTTCAGTACTCTGTCAGTTTTGTGCCTAGTTATTGCACTTTCTGACTGTATATAGTATCATGTTACAGTGATGGAGAGTTACTCTTAACTCGTATCCATATGTCCTTTTCTCTTCTACATTTATTAATGGCTCAACATCCGAGTTTCAAATTATTATTATTATTTTATTTATTTTACTAGGGTGTTTCCCACAGAAAAAATTTAGTCCAATAATCAATGGAAGACAATCGCCTTTCCAGATTCATCACATTAGAGAGGTTCCGCACTACGTAAAGTTGAGCAACTTTACGTTAGTGGGCGGGAAAAGCCCGTGAATTCGCTAGTTTACACTCCACTTACGGAAAGTTGTCTATGGAGCTCCGGAGAGTACGTACAGTCCATTCATAAAAAGATTTTTTTTTAACTCAAACCATGCCTCTTGTACGGGCAAAACATAAAATAAAGACAATCAATGATTAGATCGAGCGCACGCGGTGATGATCATTAATGACACTTGACAGATAATAATAATAATGTAAGCCTCAAGCTGAGATTCTTGCTTCAGCAACAACAAGCGCTGCCGAGTCTGAGGCCATTGCTGGTAAGAATGCCTTGCGTGCACCACGCAAGCACATCAGCGCTGAACGGACCAGTGCAAAGCCAATCTGGCAGCGGATGGCAGCTAGGGTGATGCTGTATGGCTCCCCAGTCTTGGCAGCAAGGAGAGAGGCGATGCGTTTGTAGAGCGAAGCACCATGCTTTCCCATGCCTCCGGTGGTAGAGAAGATGGCGGGGACAAAGCTGGAATGCTCCACCTCCCTCAGGCGCTGCTCATACGCACGACGCTTAGCCTTTTCATGACGGACATAGGTAGCAGCAAGTGAGTTGGAACGGTTCGAAGACGCATGGGGGTAGAATACCCGTACATCAATGTAGGTGCGTTCGAACCGTCCTCCCCAAATGCCACTAGCCACGACGTCTAGGCGTGCCTGGTCGTCAGCAATAGCAGTGCGATAACGGAGTTGCTCTCCGGAGAGTAGCTGGAGGTGTGGCTCAACTGCCACCTGATGGGCCACCCGCCTGAGCAGACGAGCAGTGAGGTCCCTCACCTCGTTGTGACGAATGGACGGAAATCCACCCGTTGGACACGAGAGGGAGTGAGACACAGTGAACTGCTGCCCACACGCACACAGTGATGGTAGCCGGACCGGCAGCCAGTTGAAGCGAAGGCAAACAGCATCCCGAAACTCCGACTTCGTCAGGGTGAAGCCATGGCGTTGAAGGGGTCGGCACGTGAGCCAGCTTGAGGCACCCGGTTCCGAAGCCAGAGCGATCACTCGCTGCAGCTCTGAACTGGCGGAGGAAGAGAAGGTCTGGGCTGCTGCGCGAATTGACTCCCCGGCTGTCGCCATCACGCGCTTCTTGGCAGCGCGAACATCATGGATGGCCGTGCCAAGAACTGGATCTTGGGCGAGAACACGGCAGGTGAGGGAGGCAGTGATGTCAAGGGAGGACTGGTGCTGTTCGGCCCGGGACGACGGATGAGGTATGCCAAGGCCTCCAAAGCGACATGGCAATGAATGCTATCAGGGTGCGCTCCTCAGCATTGACGGGGCGACCTAGGAGAGCAGGAATGAAGGTGTTGGTGATAGCAGCATCAAGCGGAGCTAGGTGCTCAGCCATACCAGGTTGTGCCCTACAGAGAAAAGTCCATTTGCTCTGCAGGCCGTACACATACGCTGAGTAGGCTGCTTGCGGCTCAGTGATAGCATACTGGCTAAGGCGGTGAACTTGTGCGCTCCACTCCTCAACCTTCTGCTGCAGGTAGCTGGTGACAAAGGCTGGCGTGCCGATTGCAGCGCCGAGGTATCTTGCACCATCGGGTTGGATGGTGACACCTGTGCCGTCGAAAATACGGACAGCCTCATCGAGGAACTGAGGTTTCACAACCAGGATGGATTTGGACGGGTTGGGAAAGTATCCGTACTGGGGGCCCTTTCCGACTAGCCGATCCCACCACTTGCGCACCCGCAGCAGCTTGCCACCCGACCCAGCGTCGTAAGCATACCAGGACTGTACCGCACCTTCAGTTGCCACAGACTTCATCAGCGGGGCGATGCCAATAGCATACATGGCCATTGCCACAGGGTCGCCTTGAGTTGTACCTTCTTCCGATAGGATCGTTTCACCACCAACAAAATTAATAGTTTTGCGGGCCGACGGTATGTGTTGACAACCAGATGGGCGAGAGACGGACACGCGTGCTGCACATTCCTAAGGCAAACTTCGCGGTTCAGGTAATTTAACGCATTGGATGCGTCGGCAAGCAAAAGACACTCTGTGGACGGATCATCAAACACACTCCCCATCGCATGGATGGCAGCTTCGATACCTCCGTCCTGGCCTGCACATAACTGAAGGCTTCCTGCAGCCTCCATGATTTCAGGGCGGATGACAGAGAGGATGGCCTTGCCCAGGATTCGGCGGAGAACCTCCCCAATGCCGATCGGTCTGACACCTGTGCGGAGGAAGGTACAACTCAAGGCGACCCAGACTTTCCGTAGATCGACTACGTTTTTTACTAACGTAATTACGTTACGTGGAACCTCTCTATTGTATAGAGCTAATAACAACTACTACTGTAGTAGCTATTAGCAAGCATTACAATTACAATAATTCTCAATCAAATTTTCGGCCAGGAGCCTCATCACAATTGAGGAGAAAAAACAAGTGAGGTGGACCTATAACAGGCAACCCAAAGTGGAACGAAACTACAGCATACGTGATAACACTGCACCATCCTTTCGGCACAGGCACACACACACATACCCATGCACATGCCAAAACACTGAGACGCCCACTCATACTCACACTCGCACCAACACTCACTCACACAAGCTCACACTCCAAATCACACCCAAACACGTGTAACTAAAGACACACACAAAAAATACCAATGTGCCTGAAAACAAGGTGTGAATAGTGGTGGGACTATGACAAAAGAAAAGGAGATGAGATTCCGTCGCCAAACTGCACTTACACTACAACATTGTGCTTAACTACGGGTACAATGGCGTGAACAAGCACACATGACAACAGGACGGGACAGTGGCAACAGAAACAATGATCATCATCCAATTTTTCACATTGTCAATTGTCAAGCAACACCCAGCCACGATCACGGTTCACCTTAGGATGGTGTTTGGAGATGTGGATTGCCTCCCTTATCCGGCGGTTCACGTATGACACTTCCGTTGCGAGTATGGATGGTGATGTGAAGGGAATGAATGGCGCTGTGAATGGATATTGTAGTGGTTGGTGCAATGCGCAGTGCTCTCCCCAGGGCTTCTGCGGTGCACAGGCTCTCGCTTCTCGGTAGTGTTCCTGGACTCGCTCCGTGACACACTCCTCGCCACACAGTAATTCTTGTGTCGGGATAAGTCATTCGGACAGCGAAAGTCAAAGCCGCAGACACACACCCTCACCCACACACAGCGTGATTACAAAGCTATGCATGTGTTGCCGACAAAGTTACGAAGGTAGAACTTGTTCTCATGACGACACTTGGACACCAGCTCTGACCTCTTGTAGAGGGAGCGGGTCCCAGGCAATCTCTAGCTTTCTGGCCAGACACAGACACAGCCAAGATGTTAGAGTATGGTGCTGCTGCAGCTCCACTAGCTCCACTAAGTTCTTCACGTAGGCGTACAACATACATGACTTGAGGAGTTCTTCACGTAGCCTTAGGTGTACTGCATGGATGGCTTGATAAGTGCTGACGGTGATTCACATCCAGAAATCAAATCCAGATCTCCATAATCTCCATACTTCAGCTAGCCATGTACTGAAGTACTAGCTGTACAGGTTAATATCTCACAAATTATGCTAAATGTCTCGGCCATCCGTATTGACTCTCTATTGTATAAGCGATACGAACGCTGTCGATGATTTGCATCTACAAACCAAATCGAGATGTCCATCAATGTTCAGGTAGCCATGTACTGAAGTACCAGCTGTATAGGTTCTCACAAATCCTGCTAAATGTCTCCAAGCCAAGTGCCAGCAGTACAGCTACTGAAAAATTGTAAGGACTGAGAGGAAAGCCATAAAATAAGAATACTCACAAACTCTCATTAATTTTATTAATTATCTCGGCCATCGCGAGTGATTCTCTACAAAGGCAATGGAAAGCAACAGTCACAAACTCTCATAAATACCTCGGCCATCGCGAGTGATTCTCTACAAAGGCAATGGAAAGCAACAGTCACAAAAGTCTTCGAATAGTTTCTCAGTACTGGAGCAGTCAAGGATGTACAGACTGGAGCCTGGAACCGTTTTCGCGGATGATCCCAGTTGCTGCAGTCAAATACCGGTATTTGACGACTCCCTGATCTACGTCATCAATAATGTTCACTCAAACTCAGCTCAGTCAAAGACCAAAGACAAGTGTTCAATGAAAGATCTGTCACCAGCCAAAGGTCTTCTCCTTTGTCTGTCAGTGTCACTCATTATTCGCAAAGGCACTGAATGGTTAACAGAATGCCATGGAATCTTCAGGTGGTACCCACGTTTGCATCTGTTGAGAGCTTACAAGAGTTCTGAACCCAGTTGAAGCGAGATAGAGAAGAAGAGACGTTTTCCACGACTATCTTTTAATATTACTAGTAGTAGGATCATAGTTTGGTAGAATGGCGTCTATCCAAAGCTTGTTAGTGCTATTAGTGAGTTTGGTAGCTACTGCGAGCTCTACCCACTCTGCTGGAGAGGAAAATTTTGAGGTTAAAATGCCTGGAGCGCGAGTAACCAAGGTGTGTTCTATATATTTATTTATTTATTTATTTATTAATTTTTATTGTTTCCTTTGTTGGCAATTAAATTTTGCTTCCGGGGTCATGTATATCAACATACTGGTACCAGTTGTTATAATTACGCAAGAAAGTATAATTATAGCGAGAGAGCTGCAGCTCAGGGCCCTCGCTATGGTTGGTCTTCCCCTAGGTCATCATCGCGCTAAACCTCTCAGCAATACATGGCTGTGCATATGTACAATTTCCCTCACGGACATCGGGAACATTATCATCAGTTTGGGTAGCTCCTATGATGGATACGTTCTGTTGCTCTGTCATTTTTGGTATGCTTATCGCGACAGAAGTGATGCGTCAACTTTCTAAGGCCAGCCCGATTGCACGTATTGCATGACCATGCCGAGTTCTGCATCTTTTGCGGTGGCCTTCGCAACGATGTCATAGTTGTACGCAGCTAGGACTATGGCCCATCGATGAAGACACAGCAGCAAGTGGTAGAATGCCTATCCTTGGGCCCTGGATAACAGCTAGAGGCTGGCTAGCGTGAAGTGTCGGCCGTGCACATACTCATTAAACTTGGCTACGCCGATGTCCAACCTCTCACATTCAAGCTGGCAGTACTTACATTCCAAGTTTTACAAGGACCCGCTAGCAATGCGGCGGGCCGCTATGCACGTCAAGTAGCGCATGTGGCACTCCTTCTCCCACGTCACCAGTGCTGGACACATCACACATACCAGCCACATGGGAACATGGGGTCCGTGTGAGCAAGCAGCGCGGTCAGTTCTGACGGAAGTGTCTTCAGTGTACTGAACGCCTCTTGCTCTGTGTCTCGCTTCCACGGTTGGTCTAGTTTCATGAGCTGGTAAGGCGCCGCGGCTGTGCCACACTACAATGTAAATAAGTTCTTCACGATCTTACCACTAAAGCTCACCCAGCCGCTGAACGTTGTGCCATCGATCACGGATTCAGGGAATGCGTGCGTCATGCACCCTTGGCCGCGTGTACTCTCCATCTTTAACCCAGGGTACATCACTAAGTCAGACATGAACATGCATTGCGACTTCTTGATCCTGAGACCAGCCATGCGCAAGCAAGATGAAACTGCGTTAAGGCGCTATAGCATTCAGGATGTCATTGACTCCTTCCAGTCCCGCTAGTACCTTGTTGATCACCCCGTGGACACAGGGCAGGTGCGAATGCCATACAATACGTGAAGAAGGTAAGCATGGAGACTTGAACAACCCCTTGTTTATTATTAGTGTTGTCAGCTTCTGCTACTCATCGTCTATGGGGCACTTGTAGATACGCCTAGGAGAGATGAAGCTGTGCAAAGTACTGGCGGCACTGGTTGAGTGTGGTGAAGATATCTTTCGGCTCGGTGGGCGGCCGCATTGGTCTATCTTCAACTGAGGATTCAGCTTGATTTTGTAGTCTCCACACAATCTCACTCGGCCACCATGCTTTGGCACTGGCACAACGCGAGTAGCCCAGTCGTCGTGTTCCGGGATGCTTTACTCCACCGTATGAACATTCACGAAAAGTTCTGCCTCCACCGCTGGTCTGACAGAATGCGGTACTTGAAGTAGTGATATTGGCCAGTGCAACACTGGCCTAGTGTGTACTCACGCAGATGGATTGTCGACGCCCCCACTGATCAGTGCCCCCAAGTTACTGTCACACGGTTCTTTTCATTTGCACGAAGAATGCCCTCCAGGTTTATCTGCTCAGCGGTTTCCACGGAGAAGAGCGGCCAGTCCAGCACAATACACGTACGTTCCAATTTGCCGATGCCATCTTCAGGGTGTGCAGACTCTTCTTAGGGAAATTTCGGTCTTTGACCATTTTTGGTGGTGGGTCTGATCTACTCATCTCCCACCGTTTCTGGAGCTGCATCTGCACCTTGATCCTTGAGGGTGATGGCGTTCCTACGGATGTGGAAAGCTTAACCTGACCGAAATTCACATGAACCGTGAACATTTTAATTTTGATCATACGAGACCACACGGCGCTTTCGGGCACCAGCGGGAAAAGTTCGCCCGCCACACTCCACGACAGCAAGCACTGAAGTAGTATTTCTGACAAGGCTTGTTTCATTCCATGAGAGGACACAGTTGTTGATTGAAAACAAACACGGTTCGCATGAGACTCAGTTAAGGGGGAATGAAAGGGTTGCACTAAAATTAATCATACCGTTTTATCCAGAAGATACTGGTGCAAGGTATGTACACTCGGCTAACTCACACATGTGACAAACTAACACAAGCGGAATAGTGTTGAATGGAGGTGTTACTGTTGTGAACCATACCAGACACTACTTTCAGAAGTGCTAACTTGCTAAGCCAATCCCAAGGAGAAGGAGAGGTACACACTAGTAGACGGTGCTATAAACTACATGTCACAGAGAATACTGGAGTGGTGATAGAGATGGGTGCAATGAAGAAGCCAAAATCGCATTGGAAGTCCAATGTCATCTCTGAAAATGGCCGCCTGCACAAGATGAATTCTGGAAGAACCGCGGAAGCTCAGCCGGCGGAAGATAAAAGGATGGCTGCTGGGCTGTGGTGCAAGAGTGAACTGTGTGTAAGACGCCTTGCCCTGCTGTTAAGATTGGACGGTGTATGCGTCCTAGGGAATTCTAGAATGGACAGAACTGTGTGTATTCCCTGTCTATTCTCTCAAACTAATGCTGGTGTTACTTGTAACTTGTGTGTGATTTTCTGCACATTCTGTTCCAACCCGTCTCCTCCACGCAGGATGATGAATATCGTTGCTTTGCTCGCAAACTGCCCGCAGGGCAGAACTATATTGGTAAGTTGCTAGTTGCCACTATTGTACTTGTGTAAGCGGGCCAACACCCAACAGATGTGTCAGCCCAGCCTGTTTGCTACTGAAGGTGTGTGTACATGTAGGCACGTGTCGATGCTGCAGATAAAAAAGTGAAATAAATAAAAAGGCGACGTAGAGACAATAGGATTTATACGCTTGAAGTGAAAAAACCAAGGGTACGAGAATAGCGCTTACACTCTTCCAGTAAATTCGCACTCACAGACACTTGCACATGCATGTACATTGTCACACTGCACTTGCTGAATTTCCTATCATTTCTCACCTGTACGTATAGGTTTTATTACCGGTGCAATTTTTTCTGAAGTTTGTGCCATTTTTCGTACTACTCTTGTATCCTCGTTTTTTCACTCCAAGTGTATAAATCCTATTGTAGTTTCATCATTCCTTTGAGTCATGAATTCCATTAATAATTGTGACAAGAAAACGTTCTGGAACACTTTATTCGTTGCTATGGTTGTGATATGAGTGCGCATAATATAGTTTTATTCATTGCATTATTAAAATCAGAAGGCTACAGGAATAAGACACCTATCAGCTGTTCAAATTTACCTATGGGGACACGTTTAGACTTTGCCATGCAGCCCGGCATGCTCCATATCAGTACTGCCGAGAGTACATACCCTCCCAAGACTGTGCATCTCTGGATACTAGTACATGTACCCTCACTATAGGATCTGCCGACGGTGTGTGTCCTGTTCGCGTTGTACATTCTCAGCCAGCTTTAAGCGAACCGTGGAGTAGTCAGAATAGCACTGCCCGACAGAAACCCGCTCAGCTTACTGTAAACTTGTCAACGTTTGCCATCTGGAGTTGTTTGCGATTTTTGTGACGGATGTGAGTCGCAAAGTAAGCCGGCGCGAAGCGTAGAACTGCAGTAAAAAAAAACACCCACTGGCAAAGTGGACCCCAGTCGCGAACATATCCAGATGCAAATTAATCCGCAAATAAAACCGGTGCAAGTGTGTCTGCGGTTCACAGTCTGTATGCCAGCTATCATCATGGTCATGTCAGATATCCGGACTGTGCGCACGCTGGCCTACGTTGTATGCCGTTCGAAACGTACTGGAGACATGTGATGTGAGTTTTCGCCTTCGGAGACCCCGTCTGCAGAGTTGCACGCTCTTGGAAACTTTAAAAGCTTGTAGTTACTCTTGATTCTAACTTATGGTGCACGAGTGAAAAAACTAGTAGCCGTCAATTCAGTGCTACCAGGTATTTCTGATAAGGCCGTTATTACACTACGGCTCGCGTCTAGCCTCAGTCTCAGACGTTTTCGGGTCTCGCGATCCGAACGCGACCTGTGCCATGAGCAAATCCAGACTTGGGCTTTCGAGGACAGGTCAGCGTTTCTGCGAGCTCTGCCATGAGACGGCAAACGCGACGGGAGACGCGAGCTGCGTGCCGTAGTGTAACAACGGCCTAATCGATCCTTTGGATAGTTAACGTTAGATAATCACCATTTTTAGTGTGTTCATTTTGTTGTGGACCGTGTGTGTGTGTGTGTGTGCGCGTGCGTGCGCGCGTGTGTGTGCGTGTGTGTGTGCGTGTGTGTGCGCGTGTTCATGTTGCAAACTTGCAACGTGTGTTGTGCTGCTGTTGTTTTATTCATGCCGTGTGCTCCAGTTGGTTTTGACCCGGGTGCTTCGGCGCACACCGTTCACCACATGCTCGTCTTCGTGTGTTCTGAGCCCAGTAGCATTTCTGGTTCGTCTTACGAATGCCTATCGCCCGGAGAAATTTGCCGAAGAGACTCGCGTATTATCTATGCGTGGGGTCGTGATGCCGACGGAATGGCCCTGCCCAAAGGTAGGCCTAGCATTGTTGTCGTGCAGCTGGTACTTACTGTAGGGGCGGATCCAGGAGGGGTTCCACGGAGCCCCCTAAGTTTCGTAAATATACTACTGGAAACCATATGCATGCACATGTATCAGCTACTGTAAGACATGTTATTCCCGTAGCTATGCGGAAGACGTTACTTCAGTAACGTCTGGCGCTAGCCAGGGTCCACACAGCTTTAATTAGGTGTTTGTTTGTTTGTTTGTGTGTTTGTGTCACGCCTGGAGCTATCCCGTATCTGTCCCGTATCTGTGACTACAAAGGCTCTACAGGATTGTACGTAACAGCTGTCCACAATATTTGCTGGCTCCCGTATCTGTCCCGTACCGTACCAATATTCGTCGTATTATGTATACGACTCCCTGATATAGAGGGAGATTTGGAAAGAAAAAGGGAGACGAGGAGGAAATTAAATTAGAATAGACGCCGAATAGGTGATAGGATGCGTCAGCAAAAACATACTTTGGAAGAGGGATCCCGTCGTCTCCAAAATAAGCGTGAACGGGCGATTCAGTGCCGGTCACAGGAAACGTCGGAAGAGAGATCCCGTCGACTCCAGAACGCCCGTGATCGGCAGAGTCAGCGCCGGTCACAGGAAACGTCAGGACAGACATCCCGTCGAGTCCAGATCGCCCGTGATCGGCGGAGTCAGCGCCGGTCCCAGGAAACGTCAGGACAGACATCCCGTCGACTCCAGATCGCCCGTGATCGGCAGAGTCAGCGCCGATCCCACGACACAAATGCAAGAAATGAGCATAGGAGGCTTAATCGTGCTGATTTGCGTCATGCTACTGCAGCTGCGCACATGGAAACTGTGCGATGCATGTGAGAGCAAAAAATACCGATCGATTTCTTTTTGAAAACTCCAATCGGGCAAAGTTGAATGACGGCGAAAAGTTTCGTTTCGAGATCGGCTAAAGTTTCTCATCGGCAAAAATTTGTTGATTTACAGTATAAGAAGATAAAAAAGAAAAGAAGGAGCAAACCAAAAGTGGATGAAATTAGAGAAAAATAACAATCCGAAATAAATTCTACAAATACTTTTCCCTAACTCATATTTAAACTGATCGAAACGTTTTTGCAATACAATGATGTGGCGAATCAACGAAAAAAAAACATTTCCATCAGTTCTAATAACATGTACGATGAGCAAGGCAAAAAGGCATAGCATAGGGCCCTGAGCTTCCAAGCTCTCTCGTTATAACGAGTCGCAAATTTAAAGGGGAAGTTAAGGCAAAAATTAAAATTTCACCAGTTGTAGTCTTCGGGGTGCTGAGTCGAATGGTCTTGGTCCGAGAAAGCTGAGACGCTCCCTTCCTACTTGAATCCCAATCGAACTCGCGCACTTCCACCGAAACTGGGTGACTGCGCCCTACGAGATGGGGATTTGTATGCAAAATGTCACTAAAAGCGCCATTTCGTTCTTATAAAAGCACGGATGACCGCGATTGGCCCATATGTTGTAGTCTTCTGGACGCTGAGTCGACTGGTTTTGGTCCGAAAAGGCTGCGATGCAGCGTTCCTCCTTTATTCCCAATCGAACATGGTTGAAGAAGCGGTCACGTGCTCCTGGGTGCCAAAATCACCTGGTCACCACGCCAGCAGGCGACAACTTTCACACCAAGGTTCAACTCGAGTGACAGGACTGCACCCAAAAAAGGTCAAAACAGGCTGTAAGTTGTACCCTGCAGGCACGGTGACCAGGTGACTGGTGTACGCAGGAGCACGTGACCACTTGTTCAACCATGTTCGATTGGGAATTAGGGGCGAACGCTGCATCGCAGTCTTTTCGGACCAAAACCAGTCGACTCAGCGTCCAAAAGACTACAACATATGGGCCAATCGCGGTCATCAGTGCTTTTATAAGAACGAAATGGCGCTTTTAGTGACATTTTGCATACAAATCCCCATCTCGTAGGGCGCAGTCACCCAGTTTCGGTGGAAGTGCGCGAGTTCGATTGGGATTCAAGTAGGAAGGGAGCGTCTCAGCTTTCTCGGACCAAGACCATTCGACTCAGCACCCCGAAGACTACAACTGGTGAAATTTTAATTTTTGCCTTAACTTCCCCTTTAAAGATTGTCCAAAATTCATAGGTTAACGAGAAGATATGTTAACGATCCTGCAGTATTCCGCCATATCCAAACACAACATATATGAAGCCATACGGCCTAAACGGATCTTATTATAACGAAGAAATGTCATCCGTTAAAATGTTAGATTTACTTCCTCGTTAAATATACATGTCTTACAGTATTCAGTTTTGACTGAACAGGACCCCCCCTTAGAGATGGCTGGATCCGCCCCTGGAGTGTACTGGTGGTCAGCCCACTGTGTTGTTGCCTCCCCTGTGTTGTAGTGATCTCCCCTGTGTTGTAGTGATCTCCCCTGTGTTGTAGTGATCTCCACTGTGTTGTAGTGATCTCCACTGTGTTGTTGCCTCCCCTGTGTTGTAGTGATCTCCCCTGTGTTGTAGTGATCTCCACTGTGTTGTACAAATGTTATGCACAAAGTAATCACAGATTTTATGTGGTATGGATGCTGGCCTAACGGTTTATTGAAATCACGCGTCTATATTTTTGAAACGCACAGTAGTGATCTCCACTGTGTAAGTGTGTGCATGTGCGGACGGGTGCACACCTGCGCGTGTCCGTGTGCCTTTGTGCAGTGCATGCGGCTGCTTCTTGTCCCGACTGTACTGTCGGTGCATGTTATCGACTGTGGTGAAGTACAACTCGAGAGGCGGACGTACTGTAAAACATGTAATTTTCGGTGTAACTTTAATTTTGGTGATTTCGGTGGAGAAACCAGGCACCTAAATTTAAATTACACCTAAAAGGCACTAGAGACTGCACTGTATGCGGAGGGAACGCTGGTCACCTAATTCTAAATTACACCGGAAACCTGGCAGGTCCCTGGCACCGAAATTTTAATACACCTAACATTACATGTTTTACAGTATTTGGTATCTCTCCTATTGTTCTGGACTAATCTCAGGCGTTGGCATAGCGGTCGGAGGAGACAGTGACAGCTACATAGCAATGCAGTTGCACTACACAGACGCAAGCGCCCTGCCACCCGGAGGTGATCACTCCGGCATCACGCTACGCATCACGTCCCAGCGACCGGCGTACCTCTCCGCCATCCTGCTCTTCAACGGCCTGGCCAACTTACAGCCAAGAACAGCCGGTGAGAGATCCGTGCTGCCGTGCCTACCTGCACGCACTCCCCCTCCCCCTGCGTGCGCGCAGTCACTTTCACTACGCACATCATTGTAACATGGTTGATGCTATTGCGTCCATGCAAAGGTTCCTGATTCGAGTCCTGGTGGTAACAGCCAATTTTTCCTTCAGGCTTTTTCTCTTTTCATTCTCTCTGTCTAATGAATTAATAATAATATTTATTATGATATACAAACTCGGAGGGAGTTGTGGTTGCTCGTAAGAGTGCTCAATACACCAAGGTGCAGAGCCTAGTACACACACTTGAGAGGGACGAAAAGCGTTTCTTCTGTAACTCTGAGTTTCACGGTTTTAACCGATCATCAGACATCAGTTGCTGTCTGATGATCGGTTAAAACCGTGAAACTCAGAGTTACAGAAGAAACGCTTTTCGCCCCTCTCAAGTGTGTGTATTATGATATACATGTACAATCAATCTCCGGACAGCTAGCCGTCTCGACCGTCTCGTCAGCGGAGCTCAGAGTAACCTACCAAACCGATCGCAATGAAATCTACAGTCCATTCATTGGAAACTGGCACCCTAACTTTTTGGTGTCTCTCTTACATAGTTTTAGATATCGTGAAAACAACAGTACATTCTGCATTGTGTGACCCGTGCAATTACTCCTTGCCACATTTGAGGCCAGAAAAGTCCAAGAACAGGGAAATAGAAATTCAGCCTGAGCCAGGTTTTACAAAATTAGGACAGGTATGCCATGGCAAAATGTATGGAGAAGCAGATCCCAAACCCAGATTTTTGAGATTTAAAGTGGGTTTTTGATCCTCAATTCGGCCCAAATCCGACTTTCAAAAGCCAGCGGGCCAGTTTCCGATGAATGGACTGTAGTGAACAAAAAACTGTTAGCATATCGGCTCAGCGCATCAAAGTCAAAGTGCTTTAACTGAGAGAAGCACAGCGAGCGTTGCACACAATTACATTGCTGTGTACATCTCTCTAGTAGCAGTAGCAGCGTTTCTCACCCTGGTGACCCAGTTGTCATGCTTATCATGGGCATATTCACTCAATCAGTGGGTTTTCAGCTGTTTGCGCCTGTGCGCCTGTGCCAAATTGGGATTTCTTCCAACTCATCAGTTGGCATAAATCGAAAAGCTCCAATGCTTTCAGGTATTAGTAAGAAAAGTTGGTTGCTTGATAAACAAAACGCTTCTACAGTAAAACCTGTAACTAACGACCACCCCTTGGTGCCCGGAAAAGTGGTCTTTAGTGGCAGGTGGTCTTTAGTTAGAGGTTTGCACCGCGCGACCATATATGGATCCCATTATATGATATGTATGTCAAAATGCAGATAATACAATCCCCCACCACTTGCGCCATTCTTCTTTCAGACCATACAACACTTGGAGAGAGAGAGAAAATCAAGTTTTGTATACACTGGAAGCGATACGACCTTTTGACCCGTATGTCTACCACTAGTACCAGTAGATGTACGTGATGCGGCGATGTTGCGAGTTTTGCACCTTCACTGTAGACTATTAGTATCCGCCATCGTATCCTGGCCTGTGTTCCGTACAGGTGAGTACATGTACCGTAGCATGCTAGCTAGCCAGCACAGACTGTCAGTGTGACCTGGTGACTGAGCTGTGTGATTGCACTTCGACAGAGAGCCGCTCAGTCCTAAGTTTCTCCTTCGAGTAGTAACATCGATCAAAGAGCGCTTTGGATGCGCTCTCCAAGACGTTTCCTATCA